GTGTATGTGAGCATGTGATGGTGTGTGTGATGTGTGTAACCTTGTGAGCATGTGTGTGTGTGTATGTGAGTGCGCATGTGAGTGTGTATCAGTGTGAGTGTATGTGTGAGCATGTGAGTGTGATACTGATAATGGAGATTCACAGCTGCTTACAAATGTTCAGACAAATCACCCTCAGACTAAATCTGCAGATGGTTAGGAAAGGACTCAAAGGCCCTGGGCCAACAGCTCAGGTAGTCAGAGGTTTGCCTGACATACTGAGGCTGCAGGTTCCATCTCTGGTCAGGGCACATAAGAGAATCAACCAATGAATGTGTAAATAAGTGGAACAACAAATCTATATCTCTATCTCTCTCTATCTCTATCTCTATCTATATCTCATCAATAAATGAGAAGGACTTAAGATTTTCTGTGTTGAAATTTCCCTTTCAGCAGTGTCCCAAGAGTCAGAGTTGAGCTCGGGATTACAGAGGTTCTCACACCTTGAATTGCCTGCCTCCCACATTTATGCCATGAAAATCTCATAGAGACATGAATGCAACTGAGACACATTTTAGAATTATAGGATATATGTTCTAATGTCAGAATAGAAATTTTCAACTTCAGACAACAGCTTCCCGACTTTTGTCCAAAAGGAGGAGGCAGGCAATTCAAAGAGAAATTCATGACAAAATGCTCCAACTGTCACAAAACCCACAGAGGGATTGTGATGGGGACACCAAAATCTTCATTGTATATGCAAAGTTTCATTGCATTTTATCTGAGAAGAACTCCACTTCCATTTGTAACAAGCAATGGAACAAAAAGCTGAGGAGAGAGTAATGCTGCTGAGTGTCACCTTGTCTCTGCCACACGGCAGATCTGAGTTTGACTCCTCAGCTGGTTGCTGGGCATCCTATCAACTGTCCTAGCCTCAGTCTTCCAATGAATCAACCAATGAGTGCAAAATGAGAACGCTACTCCTCTCTGTGGCTGAGGGAGCTAAGTAACAGACAAGGCACCACAGTGACGGTCAGGCCATGGTCCCAGACCCGAAGGCTTTTTCTCTGTGGTTTCTGCCCTTGTGGAGGGACTCTTACCTCTCAAGGAAGAATCTTTGAAACTCACATGCAGAAAAGTGTAAATGGCTGTGTTACCACTTTCTGAGTTAAATGCATTTAAACAGTGGAAAAGCAGAGCTAAGCAGATGGGTCTTCCCATATATACCAGGGTGAGAGCAGGTAGGTCAGTGAGACATTCCTGCAAAATGGGGCACACAGTGGGTGAAGGGTTAGGATACTTGTGGGTCCAAAAGTCATTACTTGGATTTTTAATACAAAATCCATATAAACAAAATCAATTTTGAGAGATGAAAATCCCTAAAGCAACTTTTTGGAAAAAGAGACAGGATCAGAACTGTGCTCTAACACCATCAACAGGGCTGCAAGACACAGGACAGTGCAAAAGGAGGGACATGGGGCCAAAGTGGTCCAGACAGGACTGCAGGCACCTGGACCTAGGGGCCTGGAAACAGGGGTGTGTGAGGTGGTGGTGGTGGTGGGGGGCAGGGAGAGAAATAAGGCTCGCAACGCTATGAGGAGCCAGGCACCCACGATGTGGACAGAGATGGCATGGGGGTGGGGGGAAAGGAAAGGAGCCAAGCACAGCGGAGGTTGTGAGCCCGCTCCTGAGTTCAGGGTAGGACTGATGGGCAGTATTGGGAGGCATTCTTGGATGTGGACTGGTGAAGGACTTCATAGAGAAATTACAGGTGTGTTGAGTTAGGGAGGAGCAGGGAGCCTTGAAAACTGGAAGAGGATGAAATGTAGAGACAAGGTAGGAAGAGGAGCCACCAGAGGAGGAAGGAGAACCAGGTGTGGGGCAGGTTGGAAAGGCGGAGATGCCTGGTCACTAACATCCAAAGCTAGGCTGACCTGACCCATGGGTGAGCGAAGATGCAAAAGAGCGCAGCATTGAGCTAGCAGGTTTGGGAGGAACTGGAATCCAGAATGAAAGTGAAAGGGTAAACTTTGGAAAGGAGCCTTCTGTCCCAGAAAGAAAAAAAAATTTAAAAAGGAGAAAGATATGGAAACATGATTCCTAACTCCTTGTTTTCCTCCTACTGGGGACAAAGGGGTGTCTGCAGACACTGTCCCAGGCTCTCACCATATGGGGTTTTAGAAGTACAAGGTGGTAGTTTATTTTACCTTAAATTCCTTAAGACACACGCCCACAATATTTTCTTATTTGTAGGCTTTTGATGCTGCCAATTCTCTGACTTTTACCTTCTTCTGTTTTGCCACAGGAATAAAAAAATTTATTTTATTATTTTGCTACTGCTTTCTTTCTAAAATATTTTTTATATTTTCAGAAAATCCCAGATATTCTAGGAACTTACCTTGTGCCAATATAAAAATTACTTAAATGTCATCCACTCACAAGCTATATTTAGGTTACATTGAACTTATGTAGATGAATCATGCACCCTTTTACAATCTGGGTAACTAATTCTCCACACTATCATTTCCTCCAGCATTTCACATGCAGATTCACAAAGGGAAATGAAATACAGTGATTAATTTGTTCAAAAGTGTATGTTTCTCTTGGTAAGATTCTGACACCCCACTGGAGGAGACTGGGTCAGAGCAAAACACATCTGCAGGATTGCACTGAGGGGCAGAGGTGCGGGAATTCCACATCTGACCCCATGCAGGTGCCAATGAACTCCAAGGCAGGACCTTGGCCTTCTTTCAGGTTTGAAAACACACAGGAAGCCATTTCATTATCTATAAATACTTAATGGTCACACATTTCTGTTTAATTTTTAAATTGACTTCAAATAGAGATTTATAATGCACATTAACCAGTGGCCATGTTACTGCAAATATCCGACACTGAAATTGAATAACACCACTTTGCATTTGAGTGTTACTTTAAAATACTGGAAGAACTTTTCTATTTTCTCCTTTTTATTCACAACAGTTCTGAGAGGTACAAAGCAAAGAAAGTGCTATTCTTTTTTCCCCCCACTACAAAACTAAGCCAGGGAAAATGACTTCTGAAGATGACAGCCCGTTCACCTGAGAGGCCAGGCCAGACCCACTCTCCTGGCAGCTGCCTGTGTCCTGCCTGTAGGCACATGGTCTCATTTCTGATACCACTAAAATGTTTAAAAATCATAATCCACAGCTGAAAATGGATCAGAACAGATCTGGGCATCATACTTGTCCCTTCTACATTAGACAACGACTCATTCCCCTGGCAAATGAGTGACATGCACACATCGTGGGGGTAGAGGGGGGGGGAGCAGGGGACAATAAAACGTGTACCTCATTCACCCACGATTGAAAGCCACACTGCTCAGACAATCCCTCTCTTTTCCTCTAATAATTCTTATTTAATCTCCTTTTCCACACTATTTCCAAACATCTCAGTCAATGCTTCCTAACTCTGTGCTTTTCCAATATAGAGGATCTTACTCACCATAGAACCTACATGCTAAATGACATGGCCCTGGCCGGTGTGGCTCAGTGGATAGAGTATTGGCCACACATTGAAGGGTCGCAGGTTCAATTCCCAAAAAGGGGCACATATCTGGGTTTTGAGTTATCCCTGTCCTCTGTAGAAGCACATGTGGGAGGCAACTGATCAATGTGTCTCACATCGATGTTTCTCTTTCTCTCCTCCTACTCCTCCCACCATCCCTCTCTCCCTTCCTCTTTCTCTAAAAATAATGGAAAAGGTATCCTTGAGTAATTATTAACAACAACAAAAAGTAACATGAACCACCAGAGAAATCTAAATACATACAGAAGAAAACCATAGTGATTAAAGCCCTAGGATTTCTTAGTTTCCAAAGTCATGACAAACACACTTTAATATTCCCTATTTATAAGCACTATTAAAAATTTCATTTAGCCCAAATCAGTTTGGCTCAGTAGATAGAGCATCGGCCTGCAGACTGAAAGGTCCCAGGTTCGATTCGGGTCAAGGGCATGTACATTGGTTCCGGCATATCTCCAGTCGGGGGTGTGCAAGACAAAGCTGATCAATGATTCTCTCTCATTGATATTTCTAACTATCCCTCTCTCTTACTCTGTAAAAAGTCAATAAAACATTTTTTTTAAAATATGACATGAAGTTTTAAAAAAATTTTCATTTAGAAGCATATTTTAGCATAAATGAGAAGAAAACATGTAAACAGATATGGCTGCAAGTTTTCCCTAATGAAAGAGTGCACTCCTTTATGAGCAACAAGCTCTTGAATTCTAGCTGTAGGAAACATCTGAGATGGTAAGAAATACCGTATTTTTCTGTGTATAAGACACCTCCCAACTTTTTTCAACACAAAATTAAGAAATCAATAATTTAAACATTTTGCTGGTTTTCCTCTTAAGGCCTTTTTCTTTTCTGGCATCTTCAGGAGTTGTTCTTCCTGTTTTATCCACTGTCTGATCATATACTTAGTGGGAGGAGGTCCAAATTGCTTCTCTGCAACTCTATTTCTATGCTCTTTTGCATAGTTGATTACATTTAGTTTGAATTCTGCAGAGTAAGACAAGAGCTTACCAGTATTTATCTTTTTATTTTTTGATATCTTTATGGGCTCAGAACGCTCAGGTCTCTATTGCATCTGTGCACTCGCCACCTCCACCTTCAATTATGGCATCAGCTGATATCAGTAACAACAAGTCTCATGATTGGAGGAAGCCTGTCTGACAAGGGATGGGCAGCTACACACCTGCAGGGCTCCCTCCTCGGCTGATATCCGTGTATAAGATACCCCTCGATTTTTAGTCTAACTATTTTAGAAAAAAAATAGTGTCTTATACATGGAAAAAATATGGTAATAAAACCAATGGTTTCACAAAACAGTAAAGCCAGAGCACAAAGCAGATCAGGATCCAGAGTGAGTCTATGGAATTCCAGGGCGGGGATTCTAATGCCGTGATCCCAAATAGACAAACTCTGACTCTGGGCCACTTACACACAACGAGAATCAAACAGTGACAGGCACTCACCTATGTGCGTCTGGGCCATGACATCGGCTAGCCTGTGGGCGGCACCGCTGCCTCCACTTTGGGTGGATGAGGAAGAGGTTGTGGAGGTGGTGGAGCCATGGATGGCCTGGCTGATCCAGTGCTCCATGTTGATGCTGCCCTGGCTGGAGGTGGGTGTCCCTTGGGAGTCACCCTGCACAGAGCCTTCGTCTTCCGAACCAGAGGAGGTATCTGTGTGACAGATGAGTAAATATGCAGAGAATTAAAGAAACACATCCCAACCAAACACCACTAACACAGACCTACCGCACACATGAACAGTTTAAAGACTTTTGCTTTGAACACTCTTGAACTAATACCACTTCTTGGATGAAGTCAAACATATTTGCATACAGTCATCAAGTGAGGTGGCCAAGGGCAGCATTTTCTTCGAGATGTTGAACCTTTATGGATTCCAAGTGAGATGTATGTAGCCCTCTAGTCCCAATATGATTCTCTGAGATATAATTTGCCTTTAAGTTTAGCCTGAGTGCAAGACTAAGGGTGAGATGTCAGTGAAGATGATGCTAGAGGAGGAAGAACACACCTCACAAAGTATGCCTCCTACCTTCTCCAACAACCTATATGCTCAAAACCTTGACCCTTTGGGGAGAACAATAAATCATCACATTACACTTTATGATCAAACTAAACTTATTTATTTTTACATTCATTTTTTAAATCATTTTAATTTTTCGATTACAGTTGACATTATTAACTTAATTCCAGGTGTTACTGGAATTGGACATTATATAACTTACTAAGTGATCATCCCGATAAATCTCGTACCCATCTGACCCCATGGTTATTAGAATAAACCTGACTATATTCCCTATGCTGAACTTTATATCCTCATGACTACCCTGTAACCGATCTGTACTTCTTAGTCCTTTCACTTTTTTCACCCATCCCCCAACCTCCCTCCCACTTGGTCAGAATGTTCTCTTTATCTGAGTCCCTTTCAGCTCTACATGTTCATTTATTTTGTTGTATAGATTCAGCTGTTGATAGATATGTATTTATTGCCATTTTAATGTTCACATTCTTATCTTTTTTCCTTCTTCTTAGAGAATACCCTTTAACATTTCATGTAATTCTAGTTTGATGGTGATAAACTCTTAGCTTGTTCTTGTCTGGAAAGCTCTTTACCTGTTCTTCAATTCCAAATGATACTTTTGCTGGGTAATCTTGATTGTAGGTCCTTGCTTTTCATCACTTTGAATATTTCATGCCAATTCCTTTTGGCCTGCAAGGTTTCTGTTGAGAAATCAGGTGAAGTTTTATGGGAGCTCACTGGTAGATAAGTGCTTTTCTTTTGCTGCTTTTAAGATTCTCTCTTCGTCCTTAATCTTTTGCATTTTAATTATAATGTGTCTTGGTGTTCATCATGTTTGGTACTCTCTGCACTTGCTAGACTTGTATATCCATTTCCTTCGCCAAGTTAGGAAAGTTTTCTTTTCTTTTTTTTTCTTTTTTTTTTGCAAATAGCTTTTCAATTTCTTGCTCTCTCTCTCTTCTTCCAGCACCAAATGTTTGTATGCTTGTCCCTTGGGAGTCACCCTGCACGGAGCCTTCATCTTCCGAACCAGAGGAGGTATCTGTGTGACAGGTGAGTAAACTTATTTTTCACATGCTTGAAGCTGTCCCAGAGACTCTATATTATTCTCATTTCTGGGATTCTTTCTTTTTGCTGTTCTAATGGGGTGTTTTTTGCTTCCTTATATTTCAACTCACTAATTTGATTCTGACTTCATTTACTCTATTGATTCCTTGTAAATTATTCTTTGTTAGTGTATCCTTCATTTCTGACCAGTCCTTTTTTATGCTGTTGAAGGTCTCATTAAGTTCACTGAGTATCCTTCTAACCAGTATTTTGAAATCTGCATAATGTCCAGGTTACTTGCCTTCCTTTTGTTTAATTCTTTTTCTGCAAGTTTGTTCTGTCCTTTTATTTGGGGCATGTTTCTTTGTCTCCTCATTTTAGCAGCCTCCTTGTGTTTGTTTCTATGTATTAAATAGAGCTACTTCATGCCCCAGTCGTGGTAGAGGGGCCTTATTTAGTAGGTGTTCTGTAGGGCCCAGTGGGGCAGCCTCTCTTATCACCGAAGCTGGGCCTTCCTGTGGGCTGTGTGCACCTTCCTACTGTAGTTTAGCCTTGACTGCTGTTAGCACATAAATGGAAGGTATTTACCTGCAGGCTGATCAACTGAAAGGACTGACTGTAACCACTGACCTCTAACGAACGTGGAGGATCATCTGTGCAGGGCCCATCCCACAGAGCAGGACTTACTTCAATGGAGCTCTGGTGCCCACTGAGTCCTTTCTTTGAGTGTGTTGCCTATGGAAGTGGTTGGATGGTGAGGCTTCAATATAGTCTTTAGCTGTTCGCTGGGTGTATTGGTCCTAAGGCCTTCAAGGGGTTGCAGGCAAGGTCAACCATCAACTGTGTTCTGCCCGGGGGGCCACCCAGCATGCTTTGTAAAGTAACCTGCAGGTGGCTGCTATTTGTGCTGGGCTTACAGGCACCCAGGAGGGGCCAAGCTGCGAATCAAGGGAGGCTATTGCTAATACTGGGCTAAAGATTACTTAGTGAGAGGAAAGGGAGATGCTGAGGCCAGATGCTGCTTATTTGAGAGTTTTTAGGAAAATCTGAGCATGAGCCACGACAGGTCATTCTTAAGCCAATGGAAACTACTTGGGTGGCCCTAAAAGTTGGGTGGGATGGGGTCTCAGAGAATCACCAGACAGGTCAAACAGTATGAGCCAGGTTGACAAAGTCTCAGATATGGTGCTTTGCCTGCCTGCCTGCTCTGTGGGTGGAGGGCTCATCAAAAGACAATGGCCTCTGCCAGCACTTTTGTCTGGCAGAAAATTAACCCCCTACCACTCGCCCTGATGCCAGGCAATTCAGTTCCTCCCTGTATGTCTTTGGTGCCTTTTAAGCTACTGGCCCAGTGGTGGAGCTCAGAGGTAGTGATTCCAAGTAAGTCTGTGCCCAGACCTTTTAAGAGGAACTGCCTGGGACTTCAGCAGCCCTCTGTCTTCCTCAGCCTCAATCTTCATTGGTTTTTACAGCCAGAAGTTATGAAGAATTCTCTTCCTGGCACTAGAATCCGGGCTGGGACATCTGGTGTGGGGCTTCGAACCCTTGCTCCCAAGGGGGAACCTCTATAGCCGAGACATCCTCCCCAATTTTTCCACCATTCACGGATGTAGAACCAGCTTTCCATGTCTGTCCCTCCTACAGTTTTGATGTGGCTTCTTTATTTCCCTAGTTGTACGACTTCCATTCAGCCAGATTTCAGGTGATGGTTGTTATGTAGCTTAGCCATAATTTTGATGTGGTTCTGGGAGGAGGCAAGCACCACATTTACCTTCACCACCATCTTGATCAGAAGTCTACATTCATTTCTTATAATATTTCAATCATTTATTTTTCTATCTGTGAAAATTGTATATATTAGATTGACATAAAAATCACCTTTTCATTAAAATTAAAAACATTTGTCATTTAATAACTTTCACTTAGTAGCAAGGTTTTCAAGAATGATATACTGGTGAGCTTATTAAACTTCCATGTAATCATGACATCTAGAATCCTAATGATAGGTGAGTAAGGTGAGATGCCAGGAGGGAAAAATGGCTGAGTTGATTTAGATCATTTAATGAGAATAAGAGAAGTGAGAGTTTATCTTAAATCAAGACATAAGACTTTCTTTTTATACAGAAACCTACAGGATATTCCACATAATATAGACACAAAAATCCTCAAAAAATATTAGCAAGCAGACACAAGCAATATATAAAATGGATAATACATTATGACCAAGTGGTGACTAGGATTATACATATAAATGTGAATTAAAGTTGATTTGACATTCAAAAGTGAAGTACTGTTATATTCATATTAGTTTAATAAAAGGAGAAAAATCCCAAGTTAGCTTGAACATCATAGAAAAAGTACTTCACAAAAGCTAACACCCACTCATGAGAAAACCTCTCAGCAAAGCAAAAAATAAAAGGCATTTTCCTCAACCTGATTTAAAGCATCCATGAAAACCAACAGCTAGCACTGAATTTAATGGTAAAAGACTAAATATATTCTCTTAAGTTCAAAAGTCAGGCAAAGATGTTCCTTCTTGCCCCTTCTATTCAATGTTCTCTGAAAGGTTCTAGACGGTGAGATAAAGCAAAACAAATAAATTAAAGGCATCCAGATTGGAAAGCTAGCAGTAAAACTACCTTTATTCACAGATTACATGATCTTTGTATGTAGAAAATCCCAAGGAACATACCAAAAACTTCTTGAGTTAAGAAATGATTTTAGGAGGGTCACGGGATACAAGATAAAGACATAAAATATCTTTATATATACATATACTAGCACTGAACAATATGGGAATTAGATTTTAAAAATTCCATTCACTAAAGCATCAAAAAAGAAAAAACTTTTAGCAATATATCTAATAAAAATTTAAGGTAATATCTAATAAAATCCTAGAAGTTTCAAATTCATTTGAAAATACAAAAGATCTAGAAAAGCCAAAATAATTTGAGAATGACGGAAGACTCCACTATCTAATTTCAAAACTTAGTTATCAAGACAGTGATATTAGCATGAGAGTAGGCATATACTTGTAAAGTATATGAACAAAACAGAACTAAACCCAGAAATAAATTCTTACATTTGTAGTCAATTTATTTTTGACAAAGTTCTCAAGATAGTAATTTAAAGAGAAAAAGATAATATTTTCAACAAATGTTTCTGGGCAACTGGGTATTCTCATATCAAAGCAAACAAATAAACAGAAAATAATACCTTACAGATCTTGCCTCACAACATAAACAAAAATGAATTAAAAATGAACCAGAGACCAAAAACAAAAACTATGAAATTTCTAAAACTTCCAAAAGCACAATTCATAAAACAATAATCAGTAAATTGAACTTTGTCCAAATAAAAACTCTTAAATTTAAAAGGGCACTACTGCTTAGCTATGAGTAATGTAACAAATCACCACAATGTCAGTGGCTTACAACAACACACATTTATTACTTACAGCTCTGGAAGTCAGAACTCTAAAATCCAGGTGTTGGCATGGCTACATCCCTTGGAGGCCTTAGGGGAGACTCTCTATTCCTTTGCCTTTTCTAGAGGCACCTGCATCACCTGCACCCTTGGCTCTTGGCCC